CACACACACACACACATGCACACGTGATATGTGATGACAGCAAACACAGTCAGCTGAATAACAGCACCTGTCGTTCACTGAAAGGAGGAAACCTGGAGGGTCTGTGTGTGTGTGTGTGTGTGTGTGTGTGTGTGTGTGTGTGTGTGTGTCGGTTTAATACTGGTGTTTGGGGAACATGTATCTGTTTGCACAGTCACATTCTGGGGGGTACTTAAATTTTCGGGTAAAGGTTAGGATTAGTAAAGTGGTGGTTATGGTTAAGCCTTGAGTATGCTCCCCTGAGGATGTGCACATGATCATCTGCAGACACCACAGACTCATAATTGTTGTGGTTATATTACTTTTCTTGTCTGCTTGAAGGACTCCATTGCATACATGTGCAGTCGATCATATCTACATATTCTACACATGCACATTTCTTCTGATCATGCACACTTTTGCCCTTGTAGTGTTGGCGACAACACACATATTGGGCAGCATGCGGACTCTCACAGACTTGGGGAGGTGATGAAATTTGCTTCACACGAGCTCTTGCTTATGCACAGACATGGAGATGTCTCACGGTCTCATGCTACTTCCTGCACAGCAGGTTGTAACTACATGTTCTGCACAAATGCACAGCTGTCAAACATGCGTACGACTGACTGGGCTGCATGCACAATGGTCCACATGGTCTCTTGCATACTTGGGAAAATGACTAAAGTGTTAATAAAACAACCTTGCAGATGTATGCACGGGTGGCTGTTGACACCACAGACACATGGTTGTTCTACTACTTTCCAGTCCACTTGGAGTCATTTTAGAAGACTCTGTTCGATATAGGTGGCATCTATATATTCCACACGACTGAGTAGTTGCCATGCAGCCACATCTGTGGAGGTTTCCACTGGACTCTCATGGACTCATCTCTCTCTCATCATGCAGACCCTAACGAACCTTTGCATATTCATGGATGCAGAAATATAACTCTGGCTTCAATTTACATCACGTTGACCCTTGCGGATGTGTAACGCTGGCCTAAAGCCTTGATCATACTCCCTTACAGATGTGCAAACTGACAGCTACTGACATCCATGGACACCCACAGACACTTGTTTGTGTACTACTTTCTTCCACTTGGAAGACTTTTTTTCGAGCATGCGAGCTATTGCCCCTGTAATTTAGCAGACAAATTCTGAGCTGCACATAAATGTCTGTTGAGTTATTAGTAGGAATCGCGAGATGAGGCAGATGATGAAATTTACATCATGCAGACATTAGTGGACCCTTGCATACTCGTAGACATAGAAAGTTAAACTCTGGCTGAAATTTTCATAATGCGGAACCCTGTGGATGTTAAAAATACAGCACCAGTTGTAGGATTTGGGAAACAAAAGTTATGTTAAGGAAAAGTCCAATGTTGGGTCAGTGTTAAGGCCAACTCCTTGTTTTTGTGCCCGTGTGTCTACAAGAGTCCACAAGGGCGTATACAAGTAAATGTCGTCATCCACGCAAGTCTACAGGCAGCCCAAAATTAGTATTTTTGCAGTGACTGATGCTCAGCAGTGATGTGCATACGTAGAATACATGTAAGCAGCAGAGTCCTCCAAGTGGACTCCAGCTGACTGGAAAAATAGCAATAACAGCTATACATGTGTGATGTCTGCAGTTGGAGGAAGTCTAAACAAGGTTTAAGCCTCCTGGAAGTGAATGTAAGTCAATGTAAAGCCCTCTGAATGGAAACATGAATGTGTGCATATTTAACTTCTACATGCTCATGTTTGCTGTGAGTGAAAATAATTCTCCTTTACACGTTTCTGCATTTTTTGTTTACAGTTGTCTTTTTTTTTTTGTTTTCCACTAACACACACGCAGTTCATATATTTGAGCTCCCAGTGCTCAGTGATGATGATGTTGGTTTTCCCGCAGACTGAGCTCTTTGTTGTGGGCTTCCTCGCTCCCTCTGTCCTCTAATCATGTACTTGGGTTTGTCCCAGAATGGAGGCCAAGGCTGAGTGGCCTCAGACACACACACACACACACACACACACACACACACACACACACACACACACACACACACACACACACACACACACCATTAATTTGCAGCCACTTCCAGAGACGGGATCACGTTCACCGTGTGCGCACATACACTTGCTTCTAAACATACAAAACTGGGTGCCCTTCCCATACCTACCACTAACTATGTGTTTTAAATGGTTTACTGTATATGTAGATGGAGTCTGTTATTTTGGGGCTTTTGTGCCAGGAAGGAGTTTAGGTACAGCTTCACATGGCAACACTTTTGTCAGATGGAAAACTAACTGGATGGAAAATGTTTGACAGAGCAAATTTGTAACTTGCCTTCTATTTCTGCCTCTCAGATAAACAACAAGGCCTGCGGCACAGTGACGGTGCCGGTGCAGGTGTCCAAAGACACCAGTCGGGTGCAGCAGCTGGTCTTGGAGAGCCCCATAGGACAGAAGCTCCTCGGTGAGCGCAGCATCAAGCGAGCCATCCTCTCCCCAAGGACTACCCTCATCAACTTCCTTGTTGATGAGTGACGTTTGGGCATTTACTGCCACTTTCGTAGCTACGAGATGGTGGTGGATGCTTGTCAATCAGCAGCTCGGCCCAGACAGACAAACAAAAGAGGTGGACTTTGAAATGTCATGTTTACATCAACCGTCATTATGTCAATGTAAATACATCTAAAGACGTTTTATTTATATTTTCCTGTTTTTATTAAAAAGATTCAAGAAGCAGTTTGTCTCTGGTGTCTGTCAACAAGAATCAGCAGCTGTTTCGTTCAGATCAGACCCTCTTTACAATCACACATGAGCCCAAACACCACTTTAGATTCCACTCATCATTCACGTTCTCTCCTTTCCCCCACAGCGTCACTTTCAGCACTGCACCCATGACCACAACTTCACACCTCTCCATCTGCCATACGCCTTGCTGCTCAGTGTCTCAGCCAGGTCACGCATTCCCGATTTGCCTTATCAGTGTTTGTGTCCACCTCTGGTGCTGCTTTTAGCCGCAGATGTCGTCTGAGCACCGTACATGGTCTGCCGTGGGGCTTCCGGATGCGTCGCCGTGCTTCTGTGAACACCACCAGAAGGTCTGTTGGAGGTAACCGAGCAGCCTCATGCGGTCAGGGATTTTTCACCTCGCAGCCACATCATGATCGTCCCGTGCTGTTCTTGTGCCTCGCGTCCAGCTGTGCCTATTCATCAATGCTGTGTCTCGACATTGGGCCAACATGACTCAGCCATTAGCTCTGTCCTGGCACAGCACCACAGGCCAGAGGCAATGAAACGCATCTGTGTCTACCCACTGGCCTATCTTTAAAGCTTGGGTGAGTAAGCAGTTATTTGATACGGACAACCATTTGTTTTTCATGGTTCGAGGTGCACATGACTGTGGTTTATCCAAGCCTTTTGGCAGCTGTACCAGTAAAGTGTGTAAGTGAGAATAAAGGAATTAGATCTCTGAAAAATGCGACTGACACATCTTTTTTGCAAGTACAGCTTCCGTCAAAGGATATGCTTGTGAGCGTGTCTCATCTTATTCTGTGTCTCATTCTGTAAGTAATACAAGTTGCTGGTTAAATACTGTGAACACACAAGGTTCCTTACTGATCCCCCTAACCTACTTTCCATATTTCTCTGCTTTATCTCTGACCATCAGGTGACAGGAAAAGGCTCACAGGAGAGACAGAATAACAGGAAGGGAAACCAGGAATAAGAGGAGGGGAGCAAAGAGCCAAAACTCTGCTAGTTATTCTCTGTATTATCTCAACCAGATGCTGTCACAGCACAAAACAGAAAGTGAGACAAAGCTGCAGAGGCATTTTTATCTTGTGTCACCTCGTCTTTGTATCTGCCATATTTTCCTTCACACTTTCAGGCTGGCTGTGTGAAATAACTGTAGAATCGGTGGCAGGCCGTTTTTAACCCCTGATCTCTTCCTTTTTTTGTGTGTGTGTTATTACTGCAGCTCTTTTCACACCTTCCCTTCACTTTTCTCTATTGCAACAGCAGCTAATAAATATTTCTGAACTTGAACTGGCCTGAACAATAGGCAGAGAAGTTGCTGTGTTGGTAAAAAAGAGCAATTTTTAGATGGGTCAGAGATGCCAAGAAACGCTTCACAGACTGAAATTTGAAAAAAAAAGCAAGTCTGATATTTCTCAGTGTACATGGAGGTCTGAAATGTACTGATGCGTTTCCTCCAACAATTAATTTTGTGGCGTCGTTTAACACATTTTTCGTCAGCTCTGCAGTTTCCATGACGACTAGGATCACTGAATAGGCAACATTATTCCGCTGTGACTCACTTTCTCTTCATGCCACAGTCTTACACAAGAGATGTGCAGCGGAAATTGTCTTCCGTGAGTTGACGAAAAAAATCGCTCCTCTTCATCTTGAGAAACTTTGCTGGTGGAGAACAGGGTGGAGCGGCTGACGGAGCAGTCCCAGTCACCCTCCACTGCACCAGTGGAGTCCCAGGACTGGGCTGTGTATTCTCACAGGGGGACGCAGTAATGCTGCAGCTCATTATCTTGGAGGCTGACCTCAAGCCTGGTAATTTGGTCATCCGCGGATGTTTTTTGTGTGAGCTCATTGTATGAGCGGATTTTCACAAGTCCTTTAATTGTGCTGAGGATAAACTCTTGGTATGTGTGCAAATTCACTAAAAAGCTGTTCATTTATTTACTGTACCTCTCCATGGTGACCATCTATTAGTCATGCTGGCCTCTTGTGATTTTATTTATTTACTATGTTGGATATGTCCCATGCTATGCACCAATTATATATAAACACTGTGTACATCTTGGATTGCATTCACTGTATAAAGTCCTCACTGCAAAAAGTCGCATAAAAGTGTCATATAGGTGTGGCTAATCATCATTTCCTCATCCACTCTTCTTATCTACCAGTGCTTAATTGCAAGTTTTCAAACAAGTCTATTAATTCCATCTGTTTCCATTCATCCGTCCAAACTGTTTTCGCCCAGTGTAGCTTACTCATTGCTGCAGATGCTTCAAAGAAAAAGCTTTACAAAGTAAAAGCCAACAATTGCTGCTCTGATTGAACTCGATTTTGCACTTGCATATGCTTTTATGCAAATGTTACTGCCTCAAACTATAACAAACTGGTCCCCGATCATCACTTTAAGAATATTGGGGGTGTATGCTGTGCAGCCACTGGCTTGAAAATAGAAAGAAAAAAATCCCCCTGTAAGATCTAAAGTCACAGTAAATGTGAGTAATTTGAGGACTGGGTAAGGAAGGAAAAGTTTTAATTAGTATTCTATTTTTTCCTCATTTAACAAGGTACTAATGACACAATTAACATAACTGGTGAAGCCAAATGTGCTCAGGTTTTCCAGAGCTGTTGTCACCATATGTTTGAATTAACCTCATTTTAGGGGTAATTTTGTGAGGTAAAAGCAAAACACTCACATGTTAATGCTTAGGATGACACTAAACAATTGTTCTATACAGTTTTACATCTTAAAATCAGGAATCCAGCCCCTAAACATGATGCCATGTCCCTAATTTGGATATTAGCATCTTGCCACAAGCATCACGAATGGATTATATGCTTCATATCTTTGCTGCAACAACATCTACCTGTTGAATACTCTAGAAATACATGCCATTATATCACAACGTCATAGCTCCTGCTCTATTCGCTCAAATACTGACACACATATTTTGATAATGTTCTGTGCGAATAGCATCTGTTTGCATGTGATCAATTTCTCTGAGGCTTTAGCTCCAATAATATCCCCAGCTGCTGAAAGTAAATATGTTTCAGAAAAGCATGTTAAACCTACAGCTTAAAGAGAACGCTGCATTACGGCGACTGTTTCCTCAAACATGCAGATGGTGGAGCCTTATAAACCTTCTGTTTTAATTACACCATCACCACTAGCAGCAGGAGCCGAGAGGCCCCCTTAACATCCTGGCTGACTCCATATTTTTTCACAACAACCAGGGCTGTCAGGCAATATCTGCACACTCGGGCTCCACCGGACGAATAAAATGTGTTGCTATGTGTCTGCTGGGAGACTCACTGCACATTATGACTCTGTCCTACTGTACTCCAGCTCTGACTCGAATATTCCAGCTGGGGTCAGGATGCAGTGCAGATGGGTCACATTGTGTGTACATGCATGTATGCGAGTGTGTTTTTCATGAGAAGGAATGCGTGATGTCATTCAACCCAAAGCAGAGGGGCCAGGTCACTGCAGACACCCCCCAAAACCACAGGGACAACACACCCAGACGGTAGTTACAGTACAGTTTTATGGATTAATTCATTGCATAGACAGTTTATGGCAAATGGGACAAACTTTAAACTGTTGTGTCACAGTGCAACCATTACATTTCATTCAACAAGCTTCTTTTTTCATATTATCATAAAACTGTAAGTGATTTCAGGCTTTTGCCCTCCAGTCCTAAAATAACTACCTATTCTCCATTCACATTATTCCTCTCTTTTACATAAAGCAATGGAAGTTTTTAGAGCCTGTAGCTTACACAGGTAAAGGTAGAAACTGTAAAAACAATACATAATACGGCAAGTTTTAGGTTGTGTAATAAAGAAAACGTACGTGGATGTTAGTAGCAAAATAGTACTAAATGTAGCATAAAACATCCCAGTGCAGGAAAATGGGTTTATGGTCTGTGTCTGTCTACATGTCTACATCATGGCTCCACATGGAACAGAAGTGTCAGATGAACCGAAAAATCTGATTGTGAGACTTCACAAAGATGGAAAAGGACACAGGAAGACCAGTGACAAGGTAAAAATCAGTGGAAACACGGTTGCAATAGTAATCAGGAGGCATACAGTGAGCAATGGTACCACTAATCAGAGCTGCATCCTTGTAAAAATGACACTACAGGCAGTGCGATAGCAGTCGAGTTCTGAAAAACAGATGGACCATACATAACATCAGCCTCTAAGGAGGGCTTCCAAGAGATGTTTGGCACAAAAATGCAAGTTTAAAGTTTTGCTAAAGGACATGAAAAGAAGTCCAAAGGAATATTTAGAATACATGTTGTTTGATCAGATTATTTGGCTCGGATGGGGTCAAACATGCTGAGCAGGAACCTGGCTGGGACGACCACAGTGAATGGTCCTGACAGTGAAGAATGGATGTAGGAGGGATGAAATGTCTACAGGAGCTTGGCAGAAGAGGAATATTCCAGCATGACAATCTAAAGCACAATGCCAAGGAAAAAGAAGAAACTGAAGAAGGAAAAAGTGAAACCTAAGTCCCCTGACTTGAATCCAGTAGAAGTCATTTAGTGTATTTTGACTAAAAAGGTAGAGTAATGAACAGCTGAAAAAGAGTCTGAGGAATCCCAGAAATTTTAGCCATACTGTCATCCTCCATGCCAAGGAGGACTGAATCTGTCCTTAAAGATAAAGGTGGCTATACAAAGTCAAAATGAAAAAGTAAAACGTTTGAATGTCATAATGAAGGACATACCAACTTTTGCTTTTAAGAGCTTCTGTTCAGTTTAGAAGTAGTGCAGTAACTGTCCTGCAATGTTTAATTATTTGACATGTCAGTGAGCTTGCTGCTGTGTGAGGTAAATTCTAAAAGGTGATTTACAGTAAGTATTGCGAAGACACAAATGATTCCAACAAGAACTCCTATTGTCACCTGGTGCTTGAATTTAGTGTTTTTCTTTGCATATATACATTTAAACTGTAAATTGATGCAGAAAATGAACAAAACTGGTGCATTAAATGAACCTCGTCCTCCAAAATAAAACCCATGCCTGTCACAAAAGTCCTGCAACAGCTAAAGTAAAAGTTCATCGAGGTGGGGCAAACTTTAAATACTTTTTTCATGCAGAAAAAAACAGAAAGGCTTTTTTTTTGTCAGAGTCAAGGAGAAGCCACTGAGTCAACTTGCAGATATTTTTAAAGATGACACAGGCGGTGGAGCAGCAGCGGATGAATATGTGCCCACAGGTTCGGCTATTTTTAAACGGGAGATATTTTAGCTAACTTCTGTGCAACGGTTCCGCTCGATGAAGGCACCGCTAATCTCGATTGTATTGGACTCGAGCACTGCGCCTTTAAAAACAAACTGTTCCCTGTTTTCTGGTCCCGACCGACCGGCGGCCACGTACGGCTCCAACTGTTCTCCCACGGTCTGCTCCGCGGGCACTACTTTCTTTTTTTTTTTTAATCTGTTAACCGTCGCGACAAAGTTCGCCATTTTTAAAAAAAAGCTACTTTAAAGGACTTTCCTTGTTGGGAGACGCGGAGGACAAAGTTTTGAATGAAGGTTTCCCTGCTGGGGCTGTAAGCAAAGGAGGAGGGGGCAGTTTGTGGGGTCGTCCGGGGGTATCGGATCTGGGAATCTGCTGCTCACATTTATAACCGGGCAGACGGCGGCTTCTTCGGGGCAGAGCGGAGCTGGACGGACGGACGGAGGGACGGAGGGACGGAGCTAGCCGGTGGAGGACGCCGAGTTTCAAACTTTTTTTTTTTTTTTTTCCCCACAGAGGATTTAAAGGAAGAAAAGAAGGTTTGGAATAACAGAAAAGTTTAATTTTGGACCACCGTGTTCTGCTGCTGGACTATAAGGTGAAGTTAATTCACTCTGGAAGTCTTTTTTTTGTTTCTGTTTTAGCTAGCTGCCAAATATAACTACTCGTAACTTTACTGAAGCTAAACAAAAATGGATAAATACGAGGATTTAGGACTTGAAGCGAGCAAGTTTATCGAGGATTTAAACATGTATGAAGCATCCAGAGATGGTTTGTTTCGAATGAGGAGGGATGCGGGAAATAACCCGGACTTTGAAGAAACAAGAAGAGTTTTTGCCTCGAAAATGACTAAAATACACATCCAGAAACAGCAAGAGGAGATGGCGAAAAACAACCAGGTCATTAAAATGAATGGGGGTCACAACAGCGCACATTACACCAAAGACAGACCGCCTCTCAACAGTTCAAGGCAGGCGGGTGAAGCGGCGGCGAAGCCCCCGATACTCTCTGGCCCGGTGCCGAGCGCCGCGGCCGGCAGCCAGTACGCACAGTTTGATGGTCAGAAGCACCACACGGGTATCCAGTCTGAGCTCCCAGCCAGCAGGGCATACGGCTACGGAAACAATTACGATAATAAGGAGCCACATTCATACCAGCACAACACCCCTTCTCCGCCCAGCCCTGCGCCTCATTGCGCGCCCACACATGTTCGTCACCCGGTGAGCCAGCCGGCTGCTTGGGCCCCATCCAGCCCGACTCCCCGGGCCCCATCCAGCCCGACTCCCCCACCTGGTTCAGGGAGCAGCAGCAGCGCACCTCAGCAGCAGCCTCAGCGCCCGCAGCCTCCCCCCAACGTCAGCGGTCTTCCATCCCAGCAGAATCCGGCTCCCCCTTCTCCTGTTAACCTGAGCCCACCCTCCTCTGCAGGGCCAGTCAGGGGATGGACAGCAGACCTCTCTGGCTCACCGAAACCAGACCTGATCCCGGCTCTGCCTCTGAGTGCCTTCACAGGAGGAGCTGACTTCCATGTGCAGCAGTCTTCCACCCAGCCTGCAGCTCATTACGTGGCACCTCCGACTTCCAAACCCTCTGCCAGCCTTAATGGCCCTGTGGCAGTTTCCTCTGTCCCACCTGTGTCTTCTGAAACACTTCAACCCAAAGCCCAGATGGCGTCCACTGCCTTGATCCCTGCCAGTGTCTCCAAAATCATCAGCCAAGGTCAAGGTCAGAGTCAAATACCTGCCAGTACTGAAGCTGAAGTGCCATCCTCACCTAAGCCTGTCCAGCAACCCTCTAAGTCTCTTCTCACGCAGCCCCCTGAGCAGGGGCCTTCAGCAGCTGAAATAAAATTAGAAGCTCTCACTCAGCGGCTGGAAAAAGAGATGGATGCCCAACCAAAGGCTGACTACTTTGGTAAGACTTCAGATTACCAGCATCAGTTAGACAACTGCTTTGAAGCCAGCTGAATGACAGAACCACCCACTCACAGTTCAGAACACAACACCAGTTGGTTTTGATTTCATATTTACACATGCACCCACTGTCACCCTTTGTCATCCTTCCTCTGGGTTTTCCTCACACACAGACACACATGTTTTGTGTGTTTCCTCTTCTGTGGCTTAAACAGGAGTGCAACCCAGCTGTGTTAGGTCTTTGATGGCATCCATAGTCTTAGCAGAGTTGGGCTTATTAAGCACACTCTGTAGGGAGCATGCTTACTTTCCTCTGTCGAATGCACACAGAATATTTTTCTAATTTGTTGTCTATTTTTAATCATTCATTGTCTGCCCACAACAAACCCTGTGGTTGTGAAAGGTGGCCAGGAAGAAGAGTGTTGCCCACTTATTGCCTTTTGGAGAATTAAAGGTGGATTATGTGATTCCAATCCAACAGACTTTCCATCACATTCATCTCCTCACTGTCTGTTAGATCTTTGTTCTGTTCATGCTAGAAAAAAAACGTCTGGTGTTTGCACACAGCCATGGCTCTGTAGATGGGAAACAAGCAAAGTAGTTCAGGCTGATCCACTCAACAGTATTACAGTGTGTCCTGTGCACATTTGTACTCATGCATGTCTGCGGTTGTGCAAAGGACTGAGGGAGTGAGAAGGATGGTAGATCTAGCACTTGAACTGTCAAGTTGTGTCAACTGACTTAATATCACCAGGCTTCCTCCAGAATCAGAAACTCGACCTTTGATTGATTTAGGCAACATTTATAACTCAACTTATTAGTCAGAGCGGCAGCACTTCAGACACTTCTGTTTGTGATTGTGTAAATCGCCCTTCTTATGCTGACTTAGTTTAACTGATTGGCTCTCACTATTTCCATATGATGTCATTGCCACAGCCCTGTGTGTGCACATTTCCCTTCACTCTTTTTGTGAGAATGCCATGCATGCTTGTGCATGTGATGAACACATGCGCTCACTGAAAATGTTCATGAATAACAACACCTGTGGCTGCTAGTGCTAGAATTTAAGGGCATTTGGAGCAAGAAACCGTGGCATCTGTGGCTGCAGAGGTGGGCAGCAGTGGAGAAGAATGTCTATCATCAGCAGAATATTGTAGTTTCTATTCCTCATATCAGTGCTCGTAGAACTAGCTGCTCTATCTGGACTGTAGAAGTGTTATCAGGAAATTAGCGCAACTCTGGCAAACAGATGTTTGACTTTGAGATCACCTGGCAGGCTGGTGTCACAGATGCATACATAAGCTGTGAGCTATACGATTTGCTGCAGAGAAAGCTGGTGCTCACGTGTTTAGCAGGTCTTCGAAGCCAAGGCCATTCATGAAGACGGAATGTCCCGCTTCAAGAAATAAAAATAGCGGGAAGGGAAGGAGCGCGAAATGAATGATATCTTGTTGGAAGCCACAAAGCACCTCAGTACACACACACACACATTAGCCTATCATTGCCTCCTCGCTGGAGGAATTTCCTGCTGGAATGTCACGATTGCAATTCACAGCCTTCCTCAGCCCCCCTGTGCGCTTATGCTGTTGTGTAAGGGAAGATGCTCTGGCATACGTCACTGTCACGACAAAGCTCATAAATAGCCTTGCAACAAGGATGTTACGGATGTGTAGGAGAGCAGTGTGCAGTCAGCAGAGGTGCACAGTTTAAAGTCCTACAGTATGTCAGTTTTTCACACTCACATACATTCCCACTAGCCCACACATAGTTCCTATAAGGAGTTTCCCATCAGACCGTGGCTCATCCTCTGAGTCATGCCAGAAAGAAAGGCTTGTGTAGGCTAGTTTCATACACTTCAGTGTCTTCATAAAAGACCTTCATGGAAGATATAAAGAATGATCCATATGTGATTTCCCAGACTTTTGAGCACTTTTCGTGTGTTGTCACATTTGTAGATGTCATCTTTGAGAAGTTTTTGAAAGATGAATGTTCCCTGGGTGCATTAAAACTGCATATAATGTGCTTTTACCAGCCTTTGCCATGGTAAAGTGGTATTTACCTGTGTCTATAAGCAGGGCTGGGTCTGTCAGATTTCCCATTTTTACATTGTGCTGATTGGCATAACCGCATCTGTAGGTTCTGGGAAAATGAGTTCAGCGCCAAATGGCTGCACCAGGGGAACGCTGAGGAATGTCTGAAGGAAGAGAGCGAGGAATTTTAGAAATGAGGTCTTAAGATACAAAGGGGAGGGGTGTTTCAGACAAATTCAGGGGTGCCCTCGGTGCAGCTGAATGGATGAGTAGACAAATGGAGACATTTAGGGACAAGTTTGTGGATGCTTCTTTGTCCTTGGCCGCAAGAGCCTGAGAGGATGCAAGATTTATAGACAAGTTCATTCAAGAGAGGAGAAGTGGTGGGACATCCCAGAGTCCTGCCTGCTCTCTTCCTCTGACTTTCACACACACACACACAGAGTCAGTGGAGCGTTTAGTGTTGTGTTAAGATGGAGGATTAATTTATCCCATCTGGCTGTTGAGTGGAAAGCTTCGTCTCAACTCTTCCCAGGGATTCTTGGCTCCTGCTTTGGCGGGTATTTGGAGGCTGTTTTTTTTTTTTTCTTTCTTTCTTTTTTATGTGAATTTTATGTGAATGCGATATCCTCTCATGCTCATGTCTGCGTCTTTTTGTCTATAAATATATGGCCTACGGGAACTGACACATTTTAATATGCTGTGTAACTTCTTGGGTGTGGCGTCTGTCTGTGTTTGCTGGTGTAAGTTTGAAAATTATGCTGTAAGTGACACAGCCTGCAGCATACTTCCGCACATGAGAATGCAAGGCATACATATTTTTTTTGCTGCTTTTAAAGGTACACCATGTGGTGGATGCGTTCTCTTTCATTGCTCAGTGCTTTGAAATGATCCTTTGAAAAATGTGAATACTTTGGCCTAATTGGCGAAGAGATGACACGACAAGCAATACTGTCACAAGCTTCAAGCTATAATTGGCAGACTGTACAGCAGCACACCTCAACCTGAGTCACCTTGCACATCCTAAAGGCAGAGGTTACATAAAAAATAGTTAACAAATGAGCATGTTAATATAATTAGCTAAATATAATGGATACACTTGGGAAATAACTGACCAAAGGTGGCCTGAAAAAAAAACAGTGGAAATACTTCCTCCAGATTAAATTATAAGCAGATGAAACAATGAATAATGAAAAATAATAACACTTGTAAACTTTATTTCAATAGCACCTTTCAAAATTAGACTTACAATGTGCTTTATATGAAACGGCAACAATAAAACTTTAAAACAAGACAATAAAAGTTTAGAAAAGACAATAAAACAAAAAAAAAAATCTGCAAGAATAAAACAGGCATAAAATGTTATACAAATGCCTTTTTTTTACACTGATTCACTGACAGATGGGAAGCTTGTACCAGGATGTTGAGGTGAAAACAGTAACAGCATGGTCCCCCCTTTGTTTTAACCTGAATCATTTAAGCAGTAGCCCAGGTGGGGGGAAAATGGGGATGTTCTCCGATGTTTTTGTGCAGGACTGGTTTGAGGGAAGAAATTTATCCGGTTTGCAGGATTTTTAAAAAAGTCCGAAAGTGTTGATTGAAATTGAGATGTTGATCAAAAAGGAGCTCCGGGGTTTGTAGCTGACTGCTTTGTGTTGATTGTTCGTGGTGGGGAGGGACACAGTTATAAATATGATCAGGACCAACAACCCGGGATCCTTATCTGCTCCAGGAAATTAGAAGCCATCTAGTCCTTAATGGAAGCATGATTATCTAAGTGCCTTGATTTTCAGAGCTAAGCAAGACGTACGGCAGGGAGTCATTGGCGTAGCAGCGGTAGGACGTGGATAATTGGTAAATAAAAGTAATTGGTGAACAGTTCAGCTCATATGTTAAGTGGTTAGAAACCACTGCTAGTAGGTGACATGTTTTGCATCAGTTAAATGTACATTAGATGGTGATCTACAAATTTGTGCAACTTTTAAAGTGCAGGTCCCATCATGTGGTAGGTGTTTGTAGAAGTGGTAGCACAAGCTGCTACAGTGTGAGACAAAAGTTTAGCTGTCCGTCAGTGGCACATTGGCCAGCAAGCAGCCTTCTACTGAGAGTTTTGACAGCTGGGAAAGGTGAGAGAGGGGGGATAGGAGGGGTGAGGTTGTTTTGCTTTACCCTCCCCCCTGACTCCAACCAGCCAGTCCCCCTGAATAATTACACTGTTTTGGAATATGGGACTGTAGCCAAAAGCAAATTTGTAGTGGCCCACCCGGCGAGGAGGTTACTACGGAAATGTGGAGTTTTTAGTCCTAAACAGGAAAAATAAAAGCAAGAATGGACTTTTATTGCATTTTTTTCTTGCAGTGCATGAAAATCAAAGCTGGAAAAAGAAAAAAATGTCCTTGGCGCTTTGTCAAATAGTCCTGCAACAGTTTAATGTACTATACAGTATTTTTACTGTTGTTTGTTCTGTGACCCAAATTGTTTGTAAAAAGTGATTTGAAGGACCATCACTCCTTCATTTCAGTAGTTTGAGGGCATGACTACTTTACTGTGTTTTCACGTCAACAAAATAGCTTACATAACAGAAACATTCTTTTGCTTTCTAATAATATCCCTCTATTATCTCTAAATCTTCTTTCCAGCCGTTTGGGGCCCCTGATGATGTGTCCTCTGTGGTGGCATTAGGTGTTAGGCTTAGATGAAGTATATATAGCCCAATTGTATATTGTATTACTGCAAGTCTGTGAGGAGAAGCATTTGAAGAGGTTATTAAACGTAACTGTGTGTTTTCGGAGGAGGCGGCCATGTGATGTGTGTTGGATACAGTGGAAACAGAAGTTTCTTTGTCAGAGGAGAAGCTGGGCTGGGCCAAGCCGGGCTGGGCCGCTCTCTTCTGCTGAGCTATATTTCTCAGTCTCCAGAGGGTTTTTTTTTGCTATAAAAACCTACACACACAAATACCCTCATGCCCATGCACACACACATCCTGACACTAAAAGAGAAACTCGAGGTCTCGCTTTCATCCTCCGTCAGCGGCGTCTCCCTTTCTGTTTTTTCATGATTGCTTGTTCATATCATACCGTGTCTGATTGATTTAGCAGCTAGCTGACTGCCCATTAGGGTCAGCAGTGATGGTAAGTCCATATATCAGTTGTCATATCGCGTCATGTCATACGGCCCAGAGGGAGAAATGGAGAATGGCAGGAAAGTGGGATGATAAAAGATACTATTTTCACATCAGGTCTGGAAAGAACTGGACACTGAGCAGCTTTAGATAGAAAATAGTTACATATTGATCACACGGAAGCGTTGTGTTCCTCGGGAGCTGTCCAAAGTCAAAGGACAGATTATGTAATTATCCTGGCATGCTCTCATGTGATTTGCTTTTTGAAAAGCCTTCTTCACCCAACCCACAGGAGAGAGAAAACTGTTGCTTTCATGTGTTTTTTTTCCTGTTTTTTTTTTATGTTTTCTGCACATTTGTTCAGATCTGGTTTGGCTTGGATGAGTGGGTGGATTAATATTAAGTCCACTCCAGTGTCCTGATATCAAGCCACACTAACTGTGTGAGTTGTGAGAGCAGGAACACTTTGATTTTTATCAACTTCTATATTAACAGAACTCCCCGTCTCCGAGCCAAGTCAAATAAGCAAATAGGGATATATTTCCCCTTTCACTGACACAGCTTGCTAAACCAGCTTCCTGAACTTTTGTGAGGTTATTTATTTCCCTGTCTCCAGCAGTGTAGCCGGGTGTGTGGGTATTAAATTGAACTTGTTTTATTTGTATTTAAAATTAACTTCATGTGTGTTGATGTGGTGTGTTTCCATGTATTGTATTAAAGTGTTCCCTAAGAGTGATGGATTACTTACATGTGTGTCTTCATGTGAACGTTTCTGATTTGCTGACATGCTGTGTTGTGTTCCAGGGGCCTGTGTGAAGTGTAACAAGGCGGTGTATGGAGCTAGCCAGGCCTGCCAGGCTATGGGAAGCCTCTACCATGACAGCTGCTTCACCTGTAGCGCCTGTGGTAAGTGCACACACACACACACACACACATACACATCCACAGTGTGCCTTCATTAAAAGACTTTTCCCTTCCGTTTTTACTGTTTTTCTCCACCAGTAAAGCTCATGTCACCTGCAGACTAATAGGCTGCCAAAAACCCCTGTACTCTTGAATGAAAGTGGTGCCTTCTTCAGTCATTCACTGCCCCAAGCAAAACACACACAATTATTTAGGGATTACTGTCCTGTACTGCTGGTGTTTGGTTTCTGGGTGTGTCACTCCTCCAGCCCACACAAAGGCACACACAGCGACGATTCATGTCTGCGTATTTCACCCATCTGTCAATAAATTGAGTTTTAGATTAATTCCTGAAGTGGATGTTAGTTTTGTGCAGAAAATCACTGAATAATGTGACCACAAACACACTTATGTAAGATGTTTGCTTTGTTACGCTTGTAAGGAAGCATGAGAGGCTTGTAGCGTATTCATCTGCTTTGGCTACAGGGCTAATTTATTTTAAAATACTTTAACATCCACTTCAAAGACAGTATTTATTCTTCTCTCAGTTTTAATTACCTGAGGCAGATACAGTTTTAACTTGATAAAACAGAATGACTTTAAAACTAGAGTGTGGGATTTACATTAAAATGAACATCTGTTCCATCCAAACACTTGCCAGATGAGTTCACACGATGCTGATTAAACCTATTAGTGGCAGGTAAATCTCTGTGTTTCACAGTGTGCTGGAGTTTTAAATGTACTCTGTGTGGCAAGAGTCCCACCCTTGTGCACTAGCAGCAAAGCCTTTTACGTTAGCTAGCAATGATTTGGTTTTCCAGAGTTAAGCAGGAGAGAAACTGGGAGAAGATATATTAAATGATATGCATGAATAAAGGTTGTATTTTGAACGACTGCAGATGCTTATTAGTAATATACAGTCATCAAAACAGTCATTCTGCATTTTTGTTCTTAAAACTTCTGTAAAAGATTTTTTTTATTTAACAAACAAATCTGTGTAAAATTGCAAAACCGATGCTTTTTCTGTTAGTTGTCACTAATTGTATCTAATTAAAAAATATATATTTATAGTGTTAAACTTGAATTTAGCAGTTTTAGTTATTAAAAAAATGAAATGTCTGTGAAATTATTAGAAATTTGCAAATGTATTTTACCAGTTTTAACATAGGTTTACATTAGATTTGTACATTTAAGGCCTATTTTTTTTATTTAGTGTTTTTTTTTTGGTCAAAATTTTTTTAGGTGTAGGGGTAAGATGGAACCAATGGCAGAAACATCTTGGAAGCATCCAAGAAATGTTACTTATGCTGCAGGTGAAAGACAAACTCTGTGTTCAGAGAAAGTCTTGCAGTATAAACAAGAAGGAAATCAGCTGTGATGCATACATGATGTGCTTGTGCTGATGGTGTTTTTGTAAATACTGTCTTTGCCAGAAGGACGAAGCAAAAGTTCCGCACTGCAGCTTTAAATAAGTTGCATGCGTTCAAATAGCAAACTATCAGATGTCCAGGTATATGCTCCTCTAATGCTAACATTTAATGCTGAAAATATCAGGTTTCATCCGGGTTTAGCTGCTCAAATGCTAACTCTGATTTATGGATCTGTCTTATTGTTGTGATCTGCGCAGCATATTTCAGTGGCCCACTCATTCAACATGACGCTGCTCAAGGCGTTGGGTTTACCTGCTCAGTTTATACAGTTTACTCGACCAATCAGGTGACACCAGACATCAGTTGAGATTCACGACCCGGAGCTGAACTGTCCGATGCATGTCTGACCTGTAGCTTCATGTCTGGACGTCTGTGCACTTCCCTCCCTCTCTGCTCCGAACAATTAAAATCTCTGTCCCAATTATCAGATTGTGGGTATGTGGAGTATTTGTGGCACAGTGCCGACCCCTGCTGAGGCTCATTATTCTGCACCACCTTTGACCTTGCTGGTTGCGCACTCAAACATGTGATTAACATCTCTGTTTTTTTTTCTTTACCCTCCATTCTGTTCATGTGTGAAAGACAGAAACATATTGCGGCTCAGAATGAAGCTGATGTCTGAAGTGGAGGGAGAGAGTTTACTCACCACATACCTCTCATAGCTTGCTCCATGTGAGGGCATTAGGGTTGTGTTCGCTTTGAGCGGCCCCAGGGAAAAGCATCTCATCTGGGGAGGAATGCAGGCACAGGGGGGCCCCCAGTAAGTCGAGGCTCCAGGAGGACAGTAGGTGCTGTTATGTCAGCTGGGCGCAAAGAGACGGGAGCACAGTGTGGGACAGGGAGACCATTCAATGGGAGAACAGCACCCACCACATGCAGCCGGCATGCAGGGGCTCACTGATGCATATGCATGTACCCACACAGTAAACAGCACAAGTGCTTTACAGTAAACACTGCTTCTCATTTGCCTGCAAAATGTGTGTCACGACAATTATTGCACTTGTTGAGTTGCATAACAAGTCACAAACTTCCTCCCTTTTCCCCCAGTCCACCCCCCCCAGGTGACTGAGAGGCAGGAGAACATTCCTGATAGCAGGGAGAGCTCAGGCCACATGTCTGGGATTCAGCTCTAGGTTAATCAGTTACTGTTTACAGACATTTAAAGGTACAGCCCAGTTCTAGTTGGAGATCAGGCCTGATTTAGATAACTCAGGTAAACTGTGGAACCATAAAAAGAAAGCAGTTTCTCCTTATTTATGAAATCTTCTTATATTTTTCCATTATATTCACATAGCAAATAAAATGCAGGTAGGAATTACTTATCTGCATGTACCATCCTGTTGATTGCATTGTTTTTTTTAGTGTTTCTGTAGGTTTTTTTGTTCATGTATTTCACCAAGACAGCCACACACAACAAGCAGTGCAAGCAAGAATACTGATGCACAGATTCTGCTCTCCTAATACGAGCCCCTCATCCCAGTCAGTCCGCAGGCTTTGGAGAGTACAAGAAAGGATCTGATTGGTCTTGAATCCGCTGGTATGTTAACATCTGGTGGGTAGATTTTCAAGGCCTTGACCAAACATCCCAGGTGCTGTTCACAGTCAGACAAATGCATTCAGACTACCAGAAAGAATTCCTGAAAAAGCAGTTTCCTCGTTGGCTAAACACACATCGGAAATTGCTTAAAGTGAGACCAAATCTGAGTAAGGAATCTACAAATTAAAAAAAAAAGAATTAAAGAAAAGTGCTTTTGCTGAGATGTCTCACTTGAGTAATTTACTCACAGGAAAGAACATAGGCTCGATTAGGCAGTCATGGCAGGGTCATTGTGATTTGCTTATTTTCTGAATGGGATTACATGAGGGAATTCATAGAATGGTTTAATTAGAAAATGGCCTTGTGTTTGGTTCTGTCCCTCAGGTATTTTACATTTTTATGAACGTGCAATAGTCATAGTTCTTTCTGGCGCTTTTCAACCCGTCAGTCCTGACTCCTGACTTTAATTAAGCTCTTATCTTTCCGCAAAGCTCACAGCCTTCCCTCTCTGACTTACTGGAAAAAAGACAAGAATGTGAAGAAGAGGAATAGCCCACTTTCATCCCCTTCATCCGTCCCCCTCTTCCTTTAGGGACACAAGCCTGTCTGTCAGTAATTACCCGAGGCCAGTTCCACACCTTGGCCTGATCTGAATGACTTGTCTCTTAAGGTAGCTTTGGGCGAGCCTTGGCCAGACCTTGGCTGCTGTGTGACCATTATTATTCTATTTAGGTAAGATAATTAAATTGTAAAAAAAAAAAACTGGTTAGGGCAGTTTTTGTGCATTTGATTGAAAAAGTAGAATCACAGGGTTTTGTTTTTTATCTTTTGCTCATCTTCTACATATAATTTGGGCTCTTGGCTGTAGAACAGCTGAGTTTCTTGCTTTCTGACTTTTAATTTGTCAAGTGGTTTAAAGATGTTAATTAGAGTGATTTTTAGTGGAGAGAAGACAGCTGCGCCTGAGCTCTTCTACACACTTGACAGACTCAAACAGTTTCTTTGCTTTGTAGGTTGACTGCGCCGATCTGTGAGTAGGTTGATCTACATCTGAGGGACAATGTATGGTTGGAAGAAGCAGTCTGGGTACAAATAATCAAGTAAACAGAGCATGAGATAGCACCGGGGAGATAAAGAAGCGGCTGCTAACTAAGGTCAACCCCTCCTCTCCCCTGCTGTCCCCTCCCTCACCTCCCCACTTAGAAAATGTGAGGAATGTTCCCTCTTCCTGTGGGACCTGGGCAAGAATAGCTATGAGAAGTTAGCAAAAAAGGTTTGGTGTGTGTGTTGCTGTAAGAGGCCAGATCCAGACAGAGAGGAAGCAAACCCAGCATGAGGGCAGACACGAGAAAAGAACAAAGAAGAAGAATAGCAGGTCACCTTAGGCCTTGGCCTGTTTTTGCAATGAAATCCAATAGAGCAGAGTGTTTAATCTGTTGCACCTGTCTAGTAATTGGATTTAATCAGCATTTTCCCCACACGTGTTTGATCCAGATGTGTTCTTTGTCCTATCGCAGCCTTCTCTGTGTCCCAGGAATATTATATTAAGTCACCAGAGCACCATAGATCTGCTCATTTGATTTATCTGCTTGGGATTCAGCAGGATATAATGAATATTGCAAGAGGGCCCATTACCTTCGAATGGCTGTAATTAATCACTACGGTCTTCATGCATTAGTGCTGTAACTATTTTCTGAGATCAAGCTCATGGCTCATGCAAGATTTTCCACTATGACATTTCAACATTCTGTCACCGACTTACCTTTTCGAGTCTGCTTTAATCTGCTAACTCTCATATTTAATCATATTTCAGTAATAGAAAAAAACATGATTTTTTTTCTCTCTGACGGAGAGGTTTGGAGACTCTCAGGTGTGGAAGTGAAACGATACAAATAGAATTTTTCGTGTGTGTGTTTCTGCAGGTCGAAGGCTGAGAGGGAAGGCTTTCTACTATGTCGGAGGGAAGGTTTTCTGTGAAGAGGACTTCCTGGTGAGTGGTCAATGTACAATCAATATTAAGTATGCTGCAACTGGGGTGTGTGGTTTTGTAACCTTTATTGGGAAAATGCATTAGATTGACAGCAGACAGTAGCTTTTTCATCCTTGTTACCTTCATCCAGCTCGTGTCTCAAATCAAATAGACTTGTCTGTATTTGAGATTTTAACAGGGGGTTAACATTTGCCCTTTAAACTGCCTTTTACGGGGTATTACTTACACCAACCTATAAGCAGGATATACTGTGTCAGCCTTCAACTTAAATACAAAGACTTTGACCTTGTGACCCAGTTTCCAGTATCTAATGCGGCCAATTCATGTCAGTTTCCTCCCTTCGCTGGGGCTGGAAGGAGGTTTGTAACTGGAGAAGCTGCTTCGCTCTGGTTTATAGGGTGGAGGCCACTCAGGTCCTGAGCACTTTGCAAAAATAGAAAACCTCCAGTATCCGTATTCATGCAAGGATTTGTATTAAACGCAATCGAACCCCCTCAGGTAAAAATTGTCATTAATTTCCAGCCTTCATTTTACAGCCAGTGTTCATGTTGTGTTTTCAGTTGTGAAGTATTTTCCAGTATTGCATCCGCACTTTCCCAGTAGCTCTGTGCGTGTTTACCCCAGGAGCCCCGTCTGCATAAAACCTCATCTAATTGCCCTTCCACCAAAAGCTCTTAGCTGCTCAATTAAAATCAAAATTTATACTGAACTAAATTTGCTCTGGCTCTGCTCCCTGTATGTACTGTTAATTACGTGTGCTCCTCTGCTAGGCCTGTTAATGTGGCCTCTCCTCGCTGACATTGCTCACACATAGCAGCAAATAATATGGATTCATATACTGTATCAGCCAGCTTCTGAGACGAGGATTAAGCCTCGTCCTAGACTAAAAAGAAAAACTCAATGACAGTCTCCATTGAAAAAAGTTTTTAGTGCAGGACTAGGCTTAATCCATGTCTGAGCTTATGAATGTATATTTAACCCTGTGAACCCCAACAAGTTTATGGACTTTTTTTTGCTTCTGTCACGTTTTCACTATTTTTTTTTTTTTTACTGTATTAAATAAGTCCTTCACCTCAATAGAACAACCACAGCTAGAAGTAGTGAGTACTAACTTTTTTGCAGCATGCCATAGATCATAAACAAAAAGAAAAAACAAGTTGAATTTCTTTGATTATTTATTTTGCAACAAGAAAACAGCTTTTACAACATTTTTCCAGGTGCCACTGGTGTTATTAATACTGGAAAACATAGTGGTTTTAAATGCTGCAGATAATTTGTCCTATTTGTCTCCTCTGTGTGAACACTGCCTGCAGTTCAGCTGAAACTTCCCAGAATGTGGGTCACAGCACAGCCTCCAGTTTCTTTTTTTTATAGAATGTGGTGAAAACAGCACATTCTAAATTGTTTAAAGTGTTTGGATGAAATGTTAGTTTTAGGCTTAGACTTGGTTTAGTCATCACACGAGTAGTTCAATGACTGCTGCAAAGTTGAAAATCTTCTGATTCTTTCTTGGTTTTACAGTCTCTGGTTCCAATAAATGGTGTAACTTTGGTGGATTTTTTATTTTTTTTTTAAAGATAGCATGCCTTTCAAGACCGCCCTTGGGTTTTGGGGTTTGTGTAGTTAAACCCAAGTCTCAGGAGCCACACCATAAGGTCTTGAAATGACTTTCTAAAAACTGCGTGCGCTGTCTTTTGTGGCAGATGACACACCTAAAGCACAAACTGTTTTTGTTGTTACCGTCTGCATAGAGGCTGTTCTTAGAAATCGGATGTAGTGTTTTTCAACAGCTTCAGTTCAGCTACACACGCTAAACCACACATTCAACGCTGGATTGTGTGTTAAAGACTTTGTAGAGTTGCCGAGTGCTTGAACAATGAAAGTCAGAGATTTCAGTCATCCGTTAAAGAACCAAATTCCAATGACATCACTGTCGTCTCGTCTCTGTTGTAGTATTCTGGTTTCCAGCAGTCTGCTGACAAGTGCAACGCGTGTGGACATCTGATCATGGACATGGTAAGTGTCTGTTACCTCTCTCCTGTTTGCTTTTCCGTGATTCGTCTGTTTGCATGTGTGGGTCAGAGCCAGGTGATCTCAGCAGAAACTCAGTTACTTCATCCTAATTGAGCTTTCTGTGTGCACATCTGGATAAAGACTCAGGAGGAAGTGTTGGCTCTGATTCGCTCTGTCTCCCACACACACAAGAGCAGACTCGTGGGTAAGAACAAAAAAAAAAAAAAAAGGCAGACGCACGTGATGTCATCGCAAGTCAGGAAGCGAAGGATTTCTCTTCACATGCGTCTACATATGTTGTCCATCCGGTAGACAAATTGAAGGAGATGTGTCTGTTTTTTTTTATTGTGCCTCCTCACATCTTCACCTCTACAGATCCTGCAGGCCCTCGGGAAGTCCTACCACCCCGGCTGTTTCCGCTGCGTCATCTGTAATGAGAGCCTTGATGGAGTACCCTTCACTGTGGACACTGAAAATAAGATCTACTGTGTCAAGGACTACCACAGGTGAACGTCACTTGTTACACAGGAATTTAAAGGAACGCAAGTGCATGACCTGGATTTATCTTTGGTAAATTAGTTTCACGTGATGCTGGACAGAATTGTCTGGGCCTCATATTCCAAGTTATATCACAGCCCAGCCTCTTAACTTTCCTCTGCTACTGCTGGATCAGGTTGAGAAGGCCTGCAGGGGCTGACTGCGTTCCTCTCTGCCACGTGTGGCAGACACATGAGAAGTTTAGTCTGGCATGAAAGGAGAGGAAGGGGGAGGGAGAAAAGCTCACTGTCCAGTCAGAGGTGTGAAGAGTGGCATGTGGCCATGACTCCTCCTGTCCACATTTGACAGTAACACACTCTGTTAGGACAACTAAAGGTTTATCTCTGTTGAAAATCAACTTTTCGTGAGGTAAATTGATTTTGAGCCTGTTAGTAATTTGAATTGTCAACAGTAGCACCTGTAGAACCTCAGCAGCAGCAGCAGCTCTGCAGCTACAGGCGTTCTTCACTGTGCTGGGACAACATGTACAGCACAACAGAGCACGTGGATCATCTCTGGCTGGCAGCCCCCACATGTTCCCTCCGCTGATTAAATCAGACAAACCTTATTGTGTATACAGTATATGTTTGACTTTAAGCCACAGTCATGCCCGTCCACACTGAGACAGCCTTTGTTTTTGCCTCAGACATCCAGGTGCCAGCCATGTGTGTGGATATAATGAATTCAGTTTGCTTTGTATTTTTCTACTCGTTCCTGGATTTGGGGAATCACTTGTGTGAGGGAAAGCCAGCACATCTGCAAACCTGGCATCTCCTGAGCTGAAACAGGATCCAAGAATCTAGTCCGAGAGGGGAGGGAAATATGAGAGGCTCATAGCTTGAAAGAGGGACACCTCATATGAACTGTAACCTCTACAGTCTTAATTTGAATGGAGCTCATTTCTGAACAGCATTCAGTGTAGTTAACTTATTTCAGTGAAGTTCAAACAAGCCTATTAAACTGTTTTTCTTTCATCTCACTCTTCCAGGGTCTTGGCGCCTAAATGTGCAGCCTGTAACCAGCCCATCCTGCCTTCAGAGGTAAGATAGCATCAGCCTGCATTTCAACCTTAATATTTAGGTAATAAGGAAATATTATCATATATAAGATGTTCATGTCAGTGTATTGTGGTTCACAGTTTTTATGTCTGAATCAGTTTAGACAATCTGGGATCTTTATGCTTTGAAATATTTGTGCTTTTGTTATTTAATGTTGAGGATCAGAGTTTTATTCAAAGAAGACAGTAGAAACTGTATTTCACAGTGAGATGAAGTTTTTAATCACGGGATTCTTTTAACACATCAATTCTAGGCAAATATTGGGCGGATTGTTGATGAGTTCAGAGTAGATAATAATGGTGAAGTAAAAAATATTGCATAATAGTGCACAGACAGACATAGATGAGGCTGCATCCCAAAATAATCAAGAAAGCAGTGTCTGCTGCACAAATGACTGTTATCCATAAGCATCGCATCCACATCAGCAACGCCATGTCAAATAAAGAATGTCACATCAAGCCCCAGTCACAACACAATCCAACATCACTGCCCTAAAACGTGACAAAATAGAAACTAATGAAGGAATCACATTAACAATGTTAGCTAAGCTAAAGGTCATAAATCATAAATCCCTTTTCCTTCAGATATTAAAAACAAAAGTTAAACTGCCACGTTGTTTCGATGCTGCTCACTTTTTTTTAGCGTTGGAGAAGCCGAGTTCATGAGAGGTCATGAGTCAAGTGCAGCCAATCGTGACTCATTCAGAGCATAAGGTTTAAATATCACTATGTTAGAACATTGTTTACTTTTCCAGCTTTTTGGCTCCAAACTGGAGCTGAGAGCTGGTTTCCTTCACGTGCCGCTCCGGCTGAGTCTGATGTTCCATTCATGGTTCAAGAGTACTACTGTGTGCACAATGAACATTTACTTCCTCCATATTTACACTGCTTGTGTGTTTTCTTATTGTGCAAAAAAAAAACAAGCTTTGTAAAATGGTTCTTGTTTGTAAGTTGACATTTTTCTTGGTGCAGGTGATTTTTTTTGCACTTTTTTTCAAAAGTCAAAATGTGGTATTTCAGAAAGTGGTGCAACGTGTCCTCAGTGTCCCTAATGTCAGTGAAATATATGCCTAGATACATAACAATGGGATTATAGATGAATGGATTTTGTTCGGTGACTGATCAGCTCACGTGACTCAAACTGAGGAGTAAAGACTGTTAGTCGTAGCATCGATGGTGTCAGTTGAGTTTTACCTTCAGTTCCTGTCAGATTGCAGAAGACGGGTCACCAACTTTAAAACTGTTTTTAAAAAAATAAGGAGCACCACATAATCAGATGAACATATTGATTCTGTCCAAATAGTTATGGAAGTCATCTGGTGATGATTCCTGTGTTTTTTTTGTATCACAATATATATCGGAGAAAAACAAGTCATCATTTTCTAATGTAATGCAGCCAAATTCCACATTCACCACATTTAACTCTCGTTTGCTCGTGTGAACTTACTTGTGACCGAGACAGAATTTACCTGCTCAGGTAGCAGGTAGTTCATTCAGCCATATTTCCCACGAGACAATGGGTCAAAACAATGTCAAGCCTAATATCTCTGAGCTGTTATTTGAGGTGTGGGATAGTAGTGAGAAATATGATTCACACTCTGGCAGCACATGCTGTCCAAGATTACAGTTGACTGTGAGCCCTGTTCTTTCAACAGTAAATTCAGAAAATATAATAACGCTGCACCGACGGTTTAGCAACAGGGGCGTACGGTCAAAGAGATGAAAAGAGGTTGTTAGCAGAGGAGTCGTGTAAAGCACAGACAATTCAACTCTTGACTTTAACGCTTTTTATCGATCTTTTGTCGGACTTCGAAGTAGAGCAGAATCAGAGCAGCCGAGTGTCTTCAACTGAGATTGGCTTCATTTGTCTGTGAATTCCTTTCCAGGGGTCTGATGAAACCATTCGAGTCGTATCGATGGACAGAGACTACCATGTGGAATGTTATCACTGTGAGGTGAGTAAAAACAAAGTCCTCACAGCCTTATAAACATGTGTCTTTGAAAACATGTGTGTCGTGGCGCTGAGCCAGGGAACCTCTGAATAGCTCATTAGGAAAAAATTATAATGAGAAGATCACCGATCTTAATTACAGTCTTGGTAATTATGCAATGCTGAGTAGAGCAGGTACGCGGCACCTCATCATCATTATCCCATCATTTTACACAAGTACCTCTTCTTTTTCTTTTTTTGGCAAAGTCTGATTGACAGCTGCTTGTTCTTTCACTTCACCAAATCAGTGAGCTGTGAGAAGCTGTGTCCTCTTTTAGGTTTTTTTGTTTGGCTTTCAAGTTGTTCAAAGAGGAGCATCTCCAGCTTAGAGTTTTGTCTGCGTAAAAACACTTCTTTCGAGAAACTGCAGGCCACACAGCCCATAAGAGAGCCCTTTATCGACGACAGCAATTATTACTGTCACATTTTTCAGGGGTCAGAAATGAGGTCGATGCAGAGCCAGACCAATTATCCTCCGTTCAGCGGCCGTGTGTGTCATCTTTGTTCCTGCTTTGTGTTGTTCAGGACTGTAAGATGGAGCTGAATGACGAGGAGGGTCACCGCTGCTACCCTCTGAACGGACACCTCCTTTGCCACTCCTGCCACCTGAAGCACATCCAGCCCGGCTGCTCCGCTCCAGTTGCTGCCGCCACCACCTCCTCCTTCTAACAGGTGGTGGGAGACACCTGGTGGATGAGAGGAGGAACTGCAGGAGCGGAAATTCACAATTCTTGTTGTAGAGGATTGATCGACTGGATGCATCAAGTCCAACCGTGTGCATTCTGACAGGAAAGTTAATGAAGTCTCCTTTATGCAGAACGTAACAGGGGTTTGACCCAGTAATGAAGTATTGCAATACACCAAAGCCCTACTTTAATGCAATGAAACGTCGCATTTGCAGAAGTGTCGCCATGTGGTTATTTTTTTTGTAAATATCAGTTGCATCGGCGATGTAGATATCTTACTGTCAGCTCATTTCAGATACTGTGTGCCTTCGACTTCACACTTCTGCAGCGAACCTACAAGTTAGAGGTTCTAATTGTCCTTATGTGGAATGTGACATAAATCACAGGTACCTAATGTTTAAGTCAGAGGAAGGATGATCTGTCGGCTCACGAAGGACTGGAAGGAATACAACAGCCTCTACAGTAATAACAGCTGGTGTGTATTTATATATATATATATATAACAGAGATACAAAGTGTTTTTAATATTAAATATTATTTTTAAAAAGTCACAAAATAACAGAACATTCTTCTTTTTCTTCATGTTAACCAGTTATCAATGCGTAGGAGTAGTTTTTCTCCTCAAACAGGATGCCAGTATCCTGACCTGCACACAGAGCCAGCGTCGCCATGTTCGATATGCAAACAGCACGCAATAAATCACATCGAATCGTAACCTCTGAACACCTCATATCAACTTCAAACGGTGTTGTTGTCCTCAAGGTTGCTGTGCCTCTGTGTGCTCAAGGCATACCAGGTCACAGTCACAGTGCACATTTTTATTACTTTCCCCTTTGTTAAGTCTGAGCAGGAATGCTTTTGGCTGCGCTGTTCTGTGATCAACAAACAGCCGGTGTTTGTCACATGCAATCTGTTCTAAGCACTTAGAGATAGATGTGCTGGGTTTCTATGCACCTATGAAGACTCTGGTATTAGGCCTGTAGATCTATGTATTTTATTACCTTTGCAAACATTGTATATTTTTAAAAGAAAGATATATATTTGTTGGCCTTTATTCATTTACATTTGTTTCATTTTATCTTTGGCGCAGACTCATTTGATTTGCAGTGTGAAGAGGGTTTTTGGGCGCCTGCCTTTGCCATCCAAATGTTATTCGTGTCTTGTCTTGAGTTTACTAACTTAATACGTAAGTTGCTTGTCATTTGAGGTCCTTATTTCATAGCAAACTGTAGGTTAAATGAAGAGCAAACGTATGTATGTATGTGCTGTGTGATTGTTATAAAGAAAATATTTAATAAATGCAACGCAGTTGGCCAACTTTTGACTTAAATTTGCTGCTTTTTTTGAAATCCAGGATTTAATTGCAGAACCATTTAACACATTATTCTATATTATATATATTATGTAAACATTATTCCCATAACCAAAAAAGTGTTCATACCTAGGCCATATTTAGGATTTTTAGTGAATTAATTTTAACAATTTTAATGCTTGATTTTTTTAAATAGACCTGTCCAGGGTGTCCCCTGCCTTCGCCCTGAGTCAGCTGGGATAGGCTGCAGCCCCCCACGACCCTCGTGAGGATTAAGCGGTGTATAGATGATGGATGGATAGATTTTTTTAAATATTATTTTAGATATGTCACTGATAAATATAACTTTTTAAAAATTATATGTATTAAAACTTTAGTAAAAATATAAACAACAAAACATAAAAATCAGTGTCTCTTTACTCACCTTTTTAGGTAATTTCTGGCCCAAAGAAACCTGTTATCAAAGCCTAGGTATGAACAATTTTTGGCTATGTGCATAATGTATAATAATATATGTAATATTCTAGTATAAATCATACATAAATTAAAATGTGTCATGATGTGTATAATTTTGTTGTATATGTATATACATTATACTACGTGATATTAGGTTATAGGTAATCATCTCAGTGGCTGATTAACAGCTTGCCTACATATTTTTAACTATTGATTCACATCAATGATCATCATTGATCTGACCAGCAGGCTCACGGTGTAATTGAGGCAGCACTGCTGAAGGGGGCGCTGCAGGTTTAGCTTCTCCTCACTTATCTGCCTCGTTGAACTCCACAACGAGCTCAACTTGCAGAAAATCGACTGATGGCGCACGTTTTTTGCGACTTTTCCAAGTTTACGTGCACAAAACGTGGAGGACATCGGTGGTGTTGTTTGTTTGGAGAGTTTTCACTTTGCTCCAGGAGCGGCTGCTGATTTGCTGTTTGGAGGCCGAGCTCCGTTCGTCCATAAATTGAGGTAAAGAAACTTTTCATGTAAACTTCCGAGATAACCGCAAGTTAAACATAGATTTTTAAAAAATATTTACAGCTTAATGCTTTTACTTTTGAGAACTTCTTCAAAGGTATTTGCTAAATGAAACCAAGTTATGAGTGTACTAAGGTGTGACCGCGGGGGATCGAACCAGCGATCAGCACTTAAACCCGTTCGCTGCTGCAAATATGAACTTTAACTGGAGTTTAAAAAAAAATACAGATTGTGTTGATAAATTATGGTCATTTGTTTTGTAGTAGCTACTTATCAGTAGATAACATCGGTGTAATGGGCAAAAAGCCAGCCTGGTATTAATAGTAAAATATTTTTTGATGTAAGCAATCGGCTAACACCTCATAATGTCATAAAGCCCACGATAACAAAGTGTAGTTTTTTAAAATCGTCTAGCTGCTTATGATTGAATTGTTCAAAGTTAATTATTATAGACGTTCTTCTTATGTTCTTATTAAATTGTCACGATAAGCTAATGGGCTAATTGTGGTAGCTATGCCGACTGTGATTGGTCAAATCCTGGCAGGTGTCGAGAAAATTGATTGGTTGTGTAGAAATCTTGGTAGAAGCGCGGCCTTTGACTGGTCAATTCCAGGTAAGATTGATGGCGGTGATTGGCTGTCACGTGATGGCCTCGCTCCACCCACAGGTGACACTGGAGGTGCCCCTTGAACTCAGTCAAAGATCAAATAAAGATAAAATAGTTCGCGTTCGGCTTTCGAATCGTGATAAGAAAAAAAGAATCGAGCCAGCCAGGAGTCGAACCTAGAATCTTCTGATCCGTAGTCAGACGCGTTATCCATTGCGCCACTGGCCCGATGGATGTTCAGTCTCCTCACATATTCAGCAAAATCCATGCTCTCTGCGAATATCATACAGGAGGTTAATGTTAGTTATCTCAACGTTTACAGCCGCGACTTAGGCGTTTGGGGTAGTACTATCTTGATCGAACAAGGACGCTGTGATGACTGGGTTCTATAATGATCTGCTCTGTAGGATTATACTGTATTCTCCGCATGTAAAAGCTGCTTGTGAGCAAAGATGGTTGAGAATCGTGATGCATATAATATGTGAAACAAACGACAGAGTAAAAACACGTAAATATTCACAAATTGCTCCCTCAGCTGAGCCAAAAAGAATGAATGAAAATCGTTCAGTTCGCTCATTCTCAACGTGAAGAAAAGAATCGAGCCAGCCAGGAGTCGAACCTAGAATCTTCTGATCCGTAGTCAGACGCGTTATCCATTGCGCCACTGGCCCACGTGACCAGCAGGAGGAAGAAGCCATTTTTGTAGTTTTGTAGTCTTTGTAGGCCGCATATTGTCTTTTAGTGGGTGGCTGCAGGAACTTTCTGTCAAAACACGATGCATTTAATATCTTGGCTAAAGAACTAAAAAAAAATAACAACATTATAATTAATGACACAACGTCTAACAATAATTATCTCCGACCCTGTTTCGTTGGCCTCTATGCCCCCATTGACCAGCAGATGGCGCGATTGGACCATAAAGTCTAGTCTTTACCCAGAGATAGACATTGACATTGGGGTCATATACAGCAATATACTAATTTTTCTGAAAGGCCATTCTTGATAGAGTCATCAAATCAACAAGTAATAAGGGGGAGGAAGGAGGGGGGTCATCATCATCATCATCATCAAAAAAAAAAGAAAAGAAAAGAAATGAAGTTACCACTATTGCAGGAAAGATGAAGTGTTAAGTCAGCAGGATTCTTGAATCACATGCAGCTCCTCACCACAGTCAGCTATAAATGCCAGGTGTTTTGTATGTTCATCTCCATCACTGCCTGGGGTGTAGTATTGCAACACGTTTTCATGTTTCAACTTACACAGCAAAATCAAGCAGCAGCAGCAGCAGCATTGTCTGTGCTGTTTTTGCACTACATCTGCATTAATGTGGTGTTGTAGCTGCCTGTGTGTCAGAGTGGGAATTAACCAAAACACAAGGTGTCTTTCTCACGTTTACTTACAGATCTACAAAGCAACTGATGCATTGGATTAGTCAGGATTGTGCTTTTTCTTTTCTTATTTATTTATTTTTTTTAGTGTGGTTTTACTGATTTGCCCTTTTCTCTTTAAGTCCAACACATACAGTAGGTTTTTAGGTCACCCATGCAAACTGTAAAATATTCACTGAAAACATTCACAAAAAAGACCATCACTCTGCAGAAGGCACACACAGGCATGCTTTCCAGTGTAGCCAATGAAAAACAAGATGACTTCATCTACCCATGATGGAGGCGCTGGTTTTCTGTTCTCTTCACGGATGCAGAAATGCACGGATGCAGGTTTCATTTGAATGTTGGGTGGAGATGTGAATGTCAAGCATTTGAGTTTGCTGTTTTGGTTAATTTGCTGCAGCAATTTGTGCCTTTTGTGCATCAAAATAGGTAAAAATGTCTATTTATATAAAGGAAAACACAAAACTTAGGCACTAGGTTACAATTCAAAATGCAGTGTAACATGTGTGGATCTAATTGTGTTTTTCACAACAGATTTTGTGCTCATGTGAGCTCATGATATATATTTTGAGAGTAAAGAAAGACCCACCCTTGACTGTTAAGTCTGTAATATACAGAATATGTGACACATTAAGCCGAAGTTAAGTTTAAATCTTGTATTGTGTCTGTTTTTAACTGGATCAACTTATATGATGTAACACATTTACTTTTGCCAGTTTATATAATCAGGTATTAGCAACTCCCAAAAACAATTATGTTAGCTTAAGACAATGTTTGCTGCTTTGTTTGCATGACAACTTTTACATTTACTCGTCTTGACAAGTCTCACAATCTTTACTGTTTGTTGCAACACTGGTTTCCATGCACTGGACATGTCCCAACTTGTTTTGTTACACCTTTGATGAATGGAGCAGCAAATGTTGGCATTATCCATGTACAAACAGGATATTTAAAAAAATATATTATTGGATTTCCAATTTTTGAGTTTAACTCTTAAAGTCTTTTTGCAGTCGTGTAAAAAAAATGCATCTTTGTGTTTTACCGCCATTGTTTTGTTGTTGGGATATGATGTCGCATACTCTTAGTTAGTGTTCTTCTTTTTGTATACTTTGTGTTTCTGTGATTATGTTTTTAATCGTCAATAAATGTCCATCTAACGTAATGATCAGATTTCAAACTGGAAACAATATTTGCTCAGTAAGAAGGAGGTGACATTCATGAAGATGAACTCTCACCGATATCACCAAGAGTTTTGCTGATGCTGACTCACTGGAGTTCCTCTCAGGAGTCACATGTTCAGAAATCAGATTTTTCTTGCATGTGGTGTAAATAACCACCACTCTGAATCGTCCTGTTCACATTTTCAGCGCAGACACAACCACCAAACGGCTGGGTAGAGATGTGCTCTCATATATAATCCTAAAAGCTTCAGCAGAAGGCAGCTGGACTTTCCTTTGTCTGTTGCCTGAAGATGTGTCTCCTCTTATTAAAGAGGCATTTTCAGTTTTATCTGATGAGGAGTCCTGAATATATCAATGTCACAAGTTAAATCATGTGGCTGATTAACCACCCAAGACTCACATGCATGGAGGAGTGTTTGTGACCCGAGGCGTTAATAGTGGCAAAACTTTAGATAGATAGATAGATAGATAGATAGATAGATAGATAGATAGATGCTTTATTCATCCCTTTGAGGAAATTCAGGGTATCCAGAAGTTCACATTACATTCAAGAAAGTACAAAAGAATGTGCAACAAACAGGAAAATTGTGCAGGTTGAACAATTAAGGTGCCAGAATTGCTGATATTTACAATAAAGGTGCAAAATCGCTGGGATTTACAACAGAAAAAGACCATTAACAGTTTATGTGCAGTACAAAATAGAGCTAATAACAAGGAGACGTGGTGTCATAGACATGACTGTTGAGGGTTAACTCCTCTCTGAAATCCTGTCTTCTCTGTCCAGAATGTGAACTTTGCTCCTCTCAAAGCAGCATCTTTTATTTTAGATTTATGGGGACTGTTGAGTCTTGTCCTTGTCATGTGTCCTTTAGACCTACAGAGCTAAATGAGTTCAGACATCCACTTTTTGTTGAATTTAAGGCAAACAACCAAGATTGTTACCACAAATTGTGCTTTTATTTAAACTGAACATGATGCTTGTTATTGAAAACAGATTGAAACTCATGTGTAGATGGATTCTTGCTGTTACAGTTAACATTTGATGTGCATGTTGTTAGTTTTACGCATTAAAAATACACGTAAAGTAGGAAATGTGAACATACTTGTGGTTAAAATCCCATCCTGTGTCCAACCCGTCCCAACCGGTGCCTAAATCGAGCGCACCCACGCGTCCCTGTGACCCCGCCCCTCCGGTTAACTCCCCCATTGACGACAGCAGAGTCCTCCCAATGCGGGGGCTTTGTGGATGGGCTCTGGCTGCGCCGTGGAGAAAACGTGCATTGAGCCCGTGTGGTGCGCGTCAGCGACAAACAAACCGAGCAGCGCGCAGCGGCGAAGGGCGGCGCGCGGCTGCATCCACACGGCAGCTCCGGATAAATAGAGGGATTCATGGGTGTATGCATGCATGCATTAATGAGTGTGTGCAGATATCTGTTGGAGGGTTTTCGAGGATTTAAAAGCGGACCGATGGAGCTGCTGGCACGCTGAGGCTCTGCCCCCGGACTCACTCCCCGCGCTGCTGCTGCTGCATGTGTCTCCAATGATGGCATCGTTTTCCTGCTAATTGATCCAAGGATTCATTGATAAACTCCTCTTTTCGGTCTCCATGGTGCTTGAAGGGTAAGCAGGGTGTCAGTGCTTTGTTTATGAAATCAGCACCTCGTGGATGCCTGCGTGTCTTTTGTTTTTCCATCCAGCCCCTGTATGTTTGTTAGCGACTCACACAGGAGAAAAAAATGCAAAGCTGGTGCGTTTTCCCAACGTAGACTGTTGTCTTTGTGTGTTTGCAAACAGAAACACTCCCCTGGTCTGTGCCTCTTGTGTTAGCAGGGAGATGGACGGCATCGGGAACACCATGCAGAAGAAGGCTGCGGAGCTGGAGCGGCTGGCCGAGGTGCTCGTCACCGGGGAGCAGCTCAGGTAGGTCGGTCAGAGCTGGTGCGAGTCCCCGCTGACCTCCACAGTCAGTCACAGCCTCTTTCAGGGGACAAGTTTTTTTATGAGGATAATCTACCACCTAATATATTTTTAGTATTAAGTAATAAATCTGATCCTTATTGACTTCTTGCATGTGCAGCCCTGTGTGGTCAGTGGAGCAGTGGGTGTTGTCAGGAGGTTAATAATCATGGAGCTCCTCTCTCTCTGCAAACTGGCCCTACAGGCAAGTTTGAGCTCCTCTGCCGTGTGCACAGCCAAACAAAGACGTTCACACATGCACAACCCTCCTCATGTATGTAATGTGCACATCAGCCCGAGGCGTTGTAATGTCTGGATTCTGCAGGATCCTTCTTTTCCTTCACTTTTCAGGACTGAACACACCATTAATTTTTGTTGCTCGACCAGCACAGTGGCCTTTGAGCGGCACAGAGGAAGATGAACCTACTAACCCTCGGTCATTATCATGCCCTGCCCATTCATCCTATCAGGGATTTGTACCCGGCCAGCGTTGTTGACATGCCGTACCCTTTGACCTACAGCACTGTACGCAGAGATCAGCTTCATAAACCCGGTGGCGTTCGCTGCCTCGTGCCCCCAGCAGTGAATAGAGGCTCAGTCGGTAAAGCGTGGCACCAATGCCTGGAATTTCAGCCCCCGACCGAACTACAAGGAAAACACTGAATTGTTTTCTCTGGCTGGGTGTGAAAATTTGAATTTCGCTGCTTCTGAAGAGCCATGAAGAGTAACACTAAAGTCACCACCTCCAGAGATTAATAGCCGGTCTGAGCACATACTCCTCAGTGTACTCTCGCTCAGCCCCAGAGTGTTTATCATTGCATGCTTTGTGTGTGTCAGTGTCCCTGGCACAGCTGCGAACACTGAGGCTGCCAGCTGGCAGCGTGACTGGTGTCGCTGAGCGGAGGGTTGGTTGGGGTTTCTGTCCCGGAGTCCTCTGAGACGCTGCTGTTCTGGGCGAAAGGACTTGAGGTTGTGACATACAAGACTTGTGTCTCTTCAGCCTCTGTATCCGTTTCTCTCTGGAGACTTTGTTTCATCAGTCGACACATCACAACAACTTTTTGATGGATTGCCATTAAATCTGGCTCTTGTGTCCGCGGCCCCCACAGGATGAAGCCTGTTGACTTTGGTGACAGTCTGACTTTTACTCCGGATTGGCTGGATTGCCATGAACTTTGATATAAACATTCATAAATCATCTATATTTGTTTCAGTAACTTTAGCCCTTGTATTTCATCGAGTGTCATCATCGTGTCAGAATCCAGTGATGATGCTAATTAGCACATGCTAGCGTGGTGTCACTACAACTAAAATGAAACTCAGTGAAAACGGTAAACATCATACCTGCTTACTGTTGCATGTTGCATTGTCATTGTGGGCATGTTAGAATGCTGATGTTAGCGTTTAGCTCAAAGCACTTGTGTGTCTGAGTACAGTCTCACTTGGCTGCCTGTGTGTGACGAGCTGCTTCAACATTTAACAGCGAGACTGGATGTGTAATGTAGATGTCTGTAATTCAGTTCCTTTCTGTCAAAAAAGAACATTTTAGATATTAACAGTACAATTCCTTCTAGGACAAATAGCGTCACCTTTTACCGTTTGTGTGTGTGGGGTTTCTATCTACAGTAATCTATAACTGCAGCTGTAATTCCAGTTTCCATCCATCCATTATCTATACATTGCTAATCCTCACTCGGGTCGCGGGGCTCCAGCTGACTCAGGGCGAAGGCAGGTTCACCTGGACAGGTAACCAGTCTATCACAGGGCTACACTTAGAGACAGACAACCAAGCACACTCACATTCACACCTACGGACAATTTAGAATCACCAATTAACCTCAACATGTTTTTGGACTGTGTGGGAGGAAGCCGGAGAACCCGGAGAGAACCCACACTGCACGGGGAGAACATGCAAACTCCACACAGAAAGATCCCAGTGCCCCCATCGGGATGCGAACCGGCGACCTTCTCGCTGCGAGGCAACAGTGCTACCAACTGTGTCACCCTGCAGCCTTAATTCCTGTTTCAAATATCTAAAACTGAATTCTGTCTAGTCATAATTTTAGTTCAAGATATCTTTAAGTCCTCTCATTTTAAGTTATCTGGCTTTGATTTCTAAATTTAGGTTTGAACTAGTCGGAATAAACTTGTAGACATCTCAAACTGCCCAGTCAAAATCTAACTACAGATATCTTGAATTAGAGTGTTTACTGTGCAAAATGGCGTCACAAGTATCTGTAGTTACATCAGAAGCTACAGCAGGCAGGAGATGGAGACGTACTGTGGCACTGCAGCCGTAACCGCGCATGACAAGCTGTTTTACCAGCATGTCAGAGCCGCCTGAGGCCAGAGTTCTGGTAAATTTTGACCACAAGACTCCAATAACTGAAGCTCCCGTTCTCCAGAAATTCCTCGCTGATGAGCTCTTCGCATTTTACGGCATTCTCTCACGATCTTATCCGCCGCAGTGGCCGCCGTTACTCCTACTGACACGGTGTCCAATCTGTGGACCACTCACAGCAGTGTGGAGTAATCAGAATCATGTTGGAGATATCTGCAGCTGTTGGTTCAAAAATAAACCGCAGATAACTTTAACTGTTGTTTTGACCAGTCAGAATCAGTCAGACTTCACTTGTGTGGCACAAATAAAATGCAACACAAAGTGCTTTATAGACGAAAGGAATAAAAACGCAATAAAACGACACAAACAACCCGTAACGTCATGGTACGAATAAAGGACTTTGAAACACAGCGACTGAGGAAATGTTTCCCGAAATAACGCGTGCAATGAGGAAACAACAAAAACAAAATAAAAGAAGACGAAATAAAATCAAATATCCAGTATTAAAATATAGATAGATGGGTAAAGGTCAGAATTCAGAAAAACAGAATAAAAAATAAGAAAAACAAAGGAATAAACAACATACTGAATAGATTGAAATATGTAAATAAACAGAGAAATCAGTAAATAAAACTAGTTCTAAGAAGAGTAATAAATAAATAAAATCCATCAAGTCAAGACTAAAAACTTGGTCTTTAAAAACATGAACACAACAGAATGACACGATGGTGACTCTAGTCGCTGAACTCGGCTAAAAACAGTCTATGGACTCTCATTTTTCTTACATTTAACAGTATAAAGACACGCTGGACAGTTTTTCCTTCACTGTCCCTGATTTAAGCTTCATCCTCAAACAACCAGAGGACGATACGAGAAGCCGAAGGAGTCACAGCCAGGATTAGAAAATTCCACCTGATACGAAACGCAGCAGGTATAAAAGCGAGGAGCGTCCACGCCTTTTGTTTGTTCATTTTATCACGAGTCCAGCTCATGGAACATGACACAGTTCCTGATACCGATAACAGAACCCTGGCTGGTTTTTTAAATATATCTTATCGTGTATTCGTGTCCCATCATGTCGACTGCTCGTGTTTTAGCCAGAAAGACGGACAGATATCAGGGCATAGCGCTCCAGGCAGCTGCTGTAGTAAAGTCTTGTGACCAGTTCATAGTTGTAAATGGAGACTTTGTTGCACCAGGCAGAATGTTGGGGGGGTTTATGAATGTTTTCAGCCGGAGTCATTGAGAAATCCTCTCGCCTGCCATTGTTTAATTCAACACAAGTTTGATCCTTTGCTTCCAGCTTCTTCTTTTTTTTTTTAATGTGAGGATTAGACTGGAGCTGTCAGAAGCCGAGCACAGAGAGAGGACGATGTCGTCTGAATGTAAAGTCTGTTAGTCCTACAGCAGAGTTTGTTTGCCTATCTCGAATCTTGGCAGAATAGCTGGACCGGCTTGGACCGAAGCTGTCAGTGCTAATCTGGAGTGATGCTGGCCAGCTGCACACAGACTCAGCGTGCAGTGGAACAAGCCAGCTGCAGGAGGCCTGGCTGACACTTGCTTTGGCTCTTTCACAATTTTCAGGTTCAGGTGGAGGTCAGCGTGATGATGCGAAACCAGCGTCAAGGACATGCACGAGAGCTTTATTGTGTTATCGTGTCATATAGTGGCGTTATAAATCCCTGCAGGTGGTGTTTAAATGCCACAGATTCACCTTGAACCTCCACTTTTGTAAACAAACACTTGACCTCGTATGTTTAGATTTTTTTTTAACCTATAAATCATTTTTGTTCTCTTTGAAGATTGTTTATCGAAGATGCTCAGATATGAAACACACCTCACATAGGCCACTGCTAAAGGAAACATGGACTGTTCTCGTTAAACTTCTGAACTCCAAGCAAGTTTCTGGGCATTTTTTCCTTTCCTGTCGTATTTGTAGCTACTGGAGGCTTATGTTTCACTGCGATTTGAAGTCCTGCACCTCTGTGGAAACAGCACAACTATTGCTAGAAGTAGAGAGAACTCAGAAATCTTTTCTGTGAACTATGATATTGTTAAGATAACATAAACCATAAAAAAAGTTACATTTCTTTGACTACTTGTTGTACAAAAAAATGGAATCAACATGTAAGTTTTTCCAAGTGCCCTGTTGTGTTACTAATACTGGACAGGAAACGGTGGCTGTACATGCTACAGATGTTCAGCTATTTACATTTTAACAGCCATTTTTACATTTATCTGCACATTAATCCTAGAAAGATGCTGAATGTATCCTCCAACAGCTGTTCGATTTTGCTCTCGATCTCTCTAATTAGTTTCCATTCTTGTCTTCTCTCTGCTTTGTGCAAACACCGCCTGCAGTTCAGCCGAAAAGCAGCAGAATTTTTGTCTCTCACGGTATCGAAATTGTGCCAAGAAGCACAGAATTTTTGTTGTTTTACAGGATCTGGTGCAAACTGTCTATTTTTTAAAAAGTTTTTGAATTGGACGTGTAGAATCAACTGATTTTGATAAAATATCATGATTTAAAGGTTGGATTTGTTTATTTTTCTGGACAGAACCGCACATCACATGATTTGTTCAAGGACTGTCGGGATGCTGAAAATCAGATTTCCATTTTTTTTTTCTGATAACTTTGGTAATTTTTGTGATTAAAAAAAGGACAACATGGCTTTCAAACTGACTCGCAGGTTTTGCTGTTCAGAGGGTTAAAAGGAGAACTAATCATATATTATATGTCGGCCACAACATTAAAACCAATAACAGGTGACGTGAACAACGTGGCTCATCTTGTTAAATTGCACTTTTCTGCTGGGAAACCTTGGGCACGAGCACTCATATGGGTGTTGCTTTAACATATCACGTAATTAAACATATTCCAGACCAAACGCGCCCCTGTGTCGCGGCAGCACTCCCTGATCAGGACGATGTGGCCTCTGACGCTGCAAAAACTGCTCAGGAATTACTCGAAGAATGACAAAGAGCTCAGGGCGTTGACCGGCATCTTAACTCCCCCAGATCCCAATTCAGTCGAGAATCTGTGGGATATGTTGCAACAAGCCTGATCCACAGAGGCCACAAACCACAACCCACAGCACCCGAAGGATCCACTGCCAATATCCTGGTGTCAGACGCCATCACAGGACCATGCCCTGAAGGGTCAGAACCAGCAGAAGGGAACCAACGCAGTCTGAGGCGGGTGGTTTTCCTGTCGTGCCCGATAGCTGTATCTCATATCTCACTCCTCTGCACCACAGAGCTGCATTGTTGCCCAGGAATCATTACAAACACGAGACACATGACTGCCCTGAGTGACGGCTTCCTCCACTATCATGAACACTGCAGTTTACTTTGAGTCAGTCCCACATATCATCATCATCCTGCTGACATAAATTCTCACTGGAGCAACAAATTGCGAACTAATCCGCAGCTGAAAATAATCCCCAAGAAGTTGAAAATAATCCTCCTGTTTGTGTAGCCTTCGCTAAAGACGACAGCGTCCAGCTGTTTTGGGAAGTTGCAGAGCTATTTTCAGGAATGAAAGGAAGCATTTGGGTTTTTTTTTATTTTATTTAAATGTAAGGAAATACATTTTTAGTAATAACAACAAATGGGCACGGAGCTGAATGTCACAGACCGGTTATATGTTACCATGAATAAAACAAAAGAAAACAAAGGTTCTCATCTAATTTTTTTGGAGAAATCTAACTGAAGAATTTTAAGAAAAAATGCAGTTCTCCCAAATCACTTGTGGCTTCTTGGGTGCACCAAGGAGTGCAGAAGTTCTTGTTTGTTCACAGAATCTGGTGACTGCACACGGCTTCGTTTTGACACATTTTTAAATTATACCTGTAAAATAAAGTGATTCTAATTAAGTTGAATGATTTTCAGTTTAAAAGTGGTTAATTTCTGATACAATTAGCTGAAGAACTGTCAGAAAGTTAAAAATCAGACAATTCTGCTGTTTTTACTGCTTCTGACTCTGATAATGTGATTTTTATTTTAGACGACATGCCTTTCAAGGCGCCTGTAGTTGTGTTTTAGGATTCAGATTGTGAAGCTGTGAAGTCAGTTTTATTATTAAAATATCGGGATCCAGTTGTTAATTGTTGTTAGTTGGTCATTTTTCTGAGGAGTCATGAAGAACCTTCAAGAAAATCTCATTTCTCCTGCTACTTGTTTGTTTTTTTCCAGGCTGCGGCTCCACGAGGCGAAGGTGATCAAAGACCGGAGGCACCACCTTCGAACTTACCCAAACTGCTTCGTAGCCAAGGAGCTCATCGATTGGCTGATCGAACACAAGGAGGCCTCGGATCGAGACACGGCGATCAAGATCATGCAGAAGCTCCTGGACCAGAGCATCATCCACCACGGTGAGGCTGAGCTGAGTTAGTCTTGTGCGTGCTTTCTCTTGTGTTTTCCATTTTCTATAACAGCAAGGGTCTCTCTCCATGTCTTCCTCTCTTTCTTTCTGTCTTGACATTTTCTGGGAACAAGCAGCGCCTCTTAATAGATGACTCTCCCCGTGTTCTGGCCAAATTGGCTCCAGCACAGCGTCTCGCTACCTGCTTCACATTTGACCAGACACTGGAGGCAGAGAAGAGAAAGAGAAAAGGGCTGCCTTTGTTTTTAGTCAATGTTTAGACACAGCCAACTTAATATTAAATCAACCGAACTGCGAGTTAATGAATTTAGGATGTTTAGATTTTAGCAGTTGCTTTATACAAGTACAATCAAAGTTCCCGTGATGCCATAATGGGACGTTTCATGCTGTATTCTGTCATCGTAAATTAGCTCCAGCACATGCAGATGGTCGTAACCTAGAACTGCCTCTGCAGCTCGCAGTGAGGTGCATTAAAGCAAATGGATTTAGCCGTAAAGTAAATGTGCAATTTGTTTAGCTTGTTAGTTAAAAGACTTAATAGCATTAAACAGGTTTTTTATGTTTTTTTGGGTCTCTTAAGTTAACTCTCTGAATGTCAAACAGAATCTGAGCGTGTTTTCTTCATTACTCATTGTGGGTTAATTTTTCACTGCAGTGTAACGTCCTGCAGCTCCACAGAAACAGCACAAGCATGATTAAAAGTAGAAAGAGCTCTTGTGTGCTCAGTTATATTTGTGCCATAAATCGTACAATTTTTGTTGAATATGTTTAAATGGGATTCGTAGAATAAAGTGAATCTGATGAACTACTACGATTTTCAGTTCAAATTTGGTTCATTTTCCAGACATGGTTCTTGCTGTTTTTATGGTTTCTGGGTCTAATAAATTCAAGTAATGAGTAATTTTGGCGATTTATGGTTTAGAACAGGGGTGTCGAACTCTGGTCCTTGAGGGCCGCAATCCTGCATGTTTTAGATGTTTCCAACACACCTGATTCAAATGATCAGCTCATCATCAAGCTCTGCAGAAGCCTGATAACGATCCTGATCATTTGAATCAGGTGTGTTGGAAGAAGGAAGCATCTAAAACATGCAGGATTGTGGCCCTCGAGGACCAGAGTTCGACACCCCCGGTTTAGAAGGTGAAGCTCTCAGTTATGATATTAAAATACCAAGATAGAGAATTTAAGTAAACACCAAGACAGCTTGTCAGTATCCGTCTATGTCTGTCTTTGTACATAGACAATGTTTCTCTGCGCAAAAGGATCTATTTCCTCACAGTCTGTTAGTAACAAACTCTAGCTGTTGTGGTTGTTTGTCTCCAGTAATCCATGTTGTTCTCTTCCTAATGTGTGTTTCCTGCATGCTGTGTTGGTAGTGTGCGACGAGCACCGGGAGTTCAAAGACATGAAGCTGTTTTACCGCTTCAGAAAGGACGACGGCACGTTTCCGCTGGACAGCGAAGCCAAGGTCTTCATGAGGGGGCAGAGGATCTATGAAAAGTATGGACACACAAACACAAACGGAAGAAACAATAACACAGGTGTACACAAACATCCGTGTTGGTTGTATTTGTGGCAGTGAGAAGTCTTGAAAGAAATGGATGCGTTTTTAGCTTTAAGGAAATGGTGCCGCGCTGGGAAAACATGCTTATTTTGTTGCTTGCAAAGGGTTACATGAGAAAATCAGTGAATTGTTTTGGTGTTTCTTACTGGAAACGGACAGAATTTCTCTGTTGTCGTGTTACAGAATCGGCCCTTAATTAAAGAATAAATAAGAGTATATAAACAACAATTTGCCATTAATGGTGCTCAACTATTTTCGTCTTGGATCATTAAGTAAACACCAGATAAGGCACTGAGATGATCGGTGATTTGTAGAGTTTGGATCGACGCCAAGCTGTTTCCTCCCCTTGTAGTCTTAATGCAAAACTAATGGGCCGTTGGTACCAGTTATATATTTACAACACAGGCATGTGTGGTATGTGCAGGCATACTTCTGATCTGAGGCTTGACATGAAGGGGAAAGTCCTACGATGCTAAACTTTACCTTTGAAGCAATGTAGATACTGATATGGTGGAAAATAGCAAGTGATGCATAGCGTGTGTGTCTCAGAGGGTACTTATACTTATTATTAATTAATCTACATGATATCATAGAGCTGGGCGATATATATCAGAAAAATGTAAGCTTATGTTGAGGTTTAGAGAGGCTAGCGTCAACTCTGTTGAGGAGTGTAATGTTTAGGTAGCGGTGATGGGGTCATAGATTTTTTTTTAGACCACAAAGCTCATCTTGTGCAGCTATGAGTTGTAGTCCACTACAGGTTGCGTGCATAGACTGTATAAAAGATGGACGTAGCAACCGGCCCTGAAAAATGAAGCCAACCCCGAAGTGTCAAAAACCTGCAGTGTCACTGTGTCCACTAGCTGCTGGCTCCACAAAGCCCTGGCTCCCATAGACTGGAACTGGAAAAGAAGTGATCACAGATCACCAAATACTGCATTCCTACAGCTCAGGATTTTTTTAAAATTAGTTTTCATGGTCAAGTCCAGAGATCAGGTGACCAATCTGAAAATAAATCAATACTGAATTTTTTAAAAATCGTCAACATTTTGCGGGACAAGGGGCGTGGCTGGCTTGATTGACAGTCAGCAGCGACCATACAGATGAAGCGAGCAGAAGGCGGTAAATGTGGGCGGGCAGAGAGGGCCCGCCTCTCAATCCGTCTGACCAATCGCTGCTCCTATGGCTCCGCCCCCCTCCCACGATTTTGGCGTCACTGGCTCCAAAAATCCAAGATGTCAACCAGGAAGTAGCAAAACCCTGGCTTCATTTTCTCAGTGCAGAAACCAACGGGTGACGTCACGGCAGCTACGTCCATCTTTTATACAGTCGGTGGTTGTGAGAAGCCCAGGTAGCAGTAGACCAGCACACCTCAGGAGAACAGAAGCCACAGGAGACAAGACGTAGGACTCAGGCGCCCCATTGTCAAGGAATATAATCAGCTGTTTCTCAGCCACTGAGGCAGCGATGTGCTTGTGTAGTGGTTTACATCTAATGCAAACTCAAAGTGTCTATAGCTGGTATATTTGGTTCTGTTGCTGCCCAGCCCTGTGATGTCGTACCACAATAACAAGGAAGAAACACACCCCCACCTAAGACTGCAGTCATGCTGGTGCATGCAGCTTGATAAGGGAGTTACTTTCTCATAAAATGCATTATCTCCTTTATTTATGTACTGCAGGCACATCCCTCCCCGCATTCCCTCTGTTTTCGTTTTACTGTGATGCACTGATATAAATGATTGTATGCGAGATATGAAACTTGCCTCCATGAAGGCGGTACTTGTGAAGCCTGCTAATGTATTGGACGGTGAACTGTGACTTTATTATCTGATGCTGTTGCGAAAGTTTGGAGCTTCGTGGCCTCTTGGCAAACAAATACCATCCCTGTATTTCCTGCTTTCCTCTCTGCATCTCTTTGTGAGAGCCGCTCTGCACGGCGCGCTGATTGACTGCAGAATCAGAAACCACCATTCATTTTGGGAAAATTAGTTTTGCTGGTAAATTTGATCCCAGTAAATGAGAGTCACTGAGCTGCTTTTTTTTAAGTAATAAAAGCCTGCGGGATTAGAAAAATCAGAGGACACTGGAAGCTTCTTAACAAGAGATGAGTCACAGTGTTTGTTCAGAGATGATCGGAGCAAATTGAACTGTTTTTGTTTGTCATCAGCTTTGAACTCATGTAGGTTTTACAATAATGATGTGACTAATAGTTTCAACCACAACACCAAAGTCATCTTCTGTCTGTCTCTTCTCGTCTGTCTCACTCTCTATCGGTGGCACAGTTGCAGTTTTGTATTCACACACTTGTAGTCGAGCAGTGTTTCTGTGCTTCTCTTACCACGTACGCAGCGACACACTTTTTATAAACACAGACCTATTTTCTATGTGTGTTTCTGAGTCAACGCACACACGCACACACACACACACACCCGCGCGCACAGAGCTGTTGCATAAGAGAAAGAAATAGTCCAAGGGGAGACATCTGTCGTCTCAACTCTCAGAGCTATGTGTTTATGTAATCGCCGTGGTGCAGCCCAGGATTCACACACCCTCCAGCTCTGCTCTGGTGGTTGCTTGCTTGTGAACCGGAGCTGCTTCACGGCTACACTTAGGGCACAAATAACAGTCCGCAGCATAAACAAACAACCGTCTTTCTTGCGCCTGAGTGCAAAGTACAAACATGTCCCGTTCAGGGAAGATCGCTGTTCCTGCTTCCTGTTTTCATACGAGCGGAACAATGTATGGGTTAGTTCTGTGGTGAGCAGTTTGCCTACCTAAGTACTACTCAGGTTGAATGAGGACTTCTTTTTTTAGGGAGGGGATCAATAACAGGAAAGCTGCAGAAATGGGAACCCAATCCTCATCCCTGTAGGTTGTTGGCCATAACAAAATCATCACATGTCTCCCATGGTGCTCTCAGACTGGTTGGTGACGTATACTCCAACATCAAGGGTTTTGTTTATTACCAAAAAAAACGTATTTCTTGAGTTATCCCTGATATTAACCAGAGCCGGTTTACCTCTACGGCCTCATTATATCTGTGGTGCAACGCTGACTCTTGGTGTTTCCATGTTGGTCTGTTTGTTTGTTGTTTATTTATCCCCATCATTCTTTTTTACTTTGTTAACACGTCTATATGATGTTTTTTTTTATGCTTGAAGATATGTCATGAACAGCCAGTGCCACTACTCAGTGTTTCCACCCTAAAACTGCAGTTTACTGATGAGTCAGTCTTGCTGGGTTTCATATGTAACAAACCTAAGAAAACAATCCTCGCACTCAACGTGGGGCTTTCTGTCATTAATCTTCCTCAGAATCGTTTTTTGGTTCAAACATGCATGCCTGAATTACTCCAGTAATATATAACGTTTGCCGTTGTGAGTACAGCAGCTTTACAGTGTTTGTACAGAGTTGTTGGTGAGCTGGTGGCGTGCAGCGAGCGTGGAGGGGTGAGTGTAGAGAGGCAGGGACTTCATAGATCTGCAAAAATGTTGAGTTACATGTAAGTCATTTAGAAGCAGGGTTGTTTCCTTAGAATAGTTTTTTTTAAAATATGTAACTTCGAAATGTAGTGAGGAGTTTTTACGAGTTTAATCAATGACTGATGTCGCAACTTTAACATCTTGTACATATGCAGCAAGACTCTCGTCGTCGTCAATCATCCTCATAACTTTGGTGATCCTCAAGTTCTTCCATAAGGTTCAGATTTGTGGTTTTGAGTGAAATTAATTGGAGGAAATCTTAATGGCATTCCCATTAACTTCAGCGCGAATATTTGGAGATTAAAATTACTATCCCGATACCAGCACAGCGACCGAATATTCAGATATTTGGCTGTTCGGGTCCAGCTCTACGCCACGTGTGGCAAAAGCTTCTAGTTTAGACTTTTCACTGTATTGTCTCCTACAGGAGCTGTTGAAATTCAACATTACACCCAAAGAGGATGAATCCTAAACATTTACATCTCATTGGTTGCAGTAGTTTTTAGTTTGTCTGCGATGGGAAGAATAGACCTTTACCATGCTAATACAAGATGAAGTAATCGAAGATGAAGAACGTTCCGGTTTAACATCAGCATTTTAGAATTTTCTCAGCAGACATTTCGACTTGTGACCGTAGAAAAAAAGCAGGTGTCACAAACGGCACTGTGATGGATCTGTTCTGTTTAAGGCTACAAGAAGATGTTGTCTTTGGGGAACGTTGCTGACCCTGGTTTAGTTCGAAAACTTCAGCGTTGCATTTTAGCCTGGATGAGGCAGAAATGGAGACTTTCAGAAACCGCGTCGACGCTGCTGCTTCCTTTATGGGTCTCTACATGTAGGTCTGGAAGAAAACTAGAGCATCAGCCTTGACCAGCAGTGGTCACCAGTGTCCACATGGCTAATGAATGACAGGCATTGCTGACCTGATCACCTATTCTAGCAGCAGATAAGGTCATCCATGGCCCTACTTTTTACCACAGCTTTTCTTCCTCCTCTGTGGTATTTCTGGCAACCAAGCAACCAACCTCCTTCATTTCCCGCTTTATGTTGACACGGACAACTCAGATATGTATTTTCAAGCACAGTCTGTCGGTGCTTAAAGATCCTTTTCACTTTAAAATGTTGTTTTAAAGTGTGAATGTAGCGTGAATGCGCCACTAATCGATGACGGCGTGACCGTTGTTCAACATGAATAAACACCAGGATGCTAAAACTGAGGCAGCTTAAAGGAATTCAGCCGTCATTAATTGTGTTACTCGCACTAGTCTGCCCCGTATTGCATAAATCAGTGTACATGCATAAACTCTGACGGCACACGCTGTACAATCTACATGACTAAACACCACATTACATAAAGCGCCGTCCTCCTCGACCGGTTTCACGTCTCGTTTTTCCATTGGAAAAATAAACAGCCCTCCGAACACATGCATTGATCTCGGATGCCGTCGATTG